ACAGATACAGATACAGATACAGATACAGATACAGATACAGATACAGATACAGATACAGATACAGATACAGATACAGATACAGATACAGATACAGATACAAATACAGATACAGATACAGATACAGATACAGATACAGATACAGATACAGATACAGATACAGATACAAATACAGATACAGATACAACGACTGCCTTTCCAATTGTCTAAAAAGAAATCTATATCTATTACCTAAGCTCGAATGACTTCCGTTCTACGACGTTTCCTTTTGAACTTCACGCGGGGCAGAAAAGTAAGATTTATGTGTTTACTTTAATTCGTAATATTCGTTATATGGTCCCTCTCACAGTCGTTCTTCGTGTTGCCCTCTTCTTCTCTCTTTCCAGGTTTGGAGGTGTGTCTGCATTTTTATTTGGATCACTTCAAAGTGTACCGAAATTATATTTCAGTTATTTTTCTATATTTATTTTTGTTATCATGGATCCCTGCAACAACAACAACAACATCATCAACATATAATTAGTATAATTAACGCTTTTTGGCTGAGTGCGTGCAGAAAATTGTGTGTGAAAGTGCGTGGCGCTCTCTGAATGTTTTCCTTTCCATTTGTATTTTGGTTGTGGCTCTTGTTTTTGTTCTTGCGATGGTTGTTGTCGTTGTTGTTGCCCCACAGTTCATTCAACTGATTTATGAGCCAGTTGGCTGTGTATGCAGTTCCGATTGACTGCGACTGCGAGCCAAGACAACAAACATATCAACTTTTCTCGTGTTAATTTGTGAATCATCTAATTGTGAGCGAGCGAAACTTGAATGCGGAGTATTCGCTTCTAGAGGATGCTGCAAGTACTTGTAGCTGCCAGATGGCTAGATGAATGTTGAGATTAATGGACCAAGATAGCGCCATTTATCTACACACATATCTATATATACTGTTATCTGCGCATATATCACTTTAATTAGCTAGTCGATCTGCTGCAGAGATTGCAGCAGGCAAATTAGCTGAATTGATGACTTTATTTGTAATGCAAATTGGACACTTGAAAGGCGTTTTATCTGCTGAGGCATGAAACTAGTTTTTAGTGCTCTTGACACGTTATTTTGAAATGTAACACATAATTATATTATTTTACTTGAACAGCTGTAAATGGGAATTTAAAGATGGAGTGAAAAATGCATCAGACTTGAATCGTTTCTAATTTCCATTTGACGGCAAAGATGTTTTTCTTAAAATTGTATTAATCCAATAGATTATTATTCTATATAAACAAACATGCAACTCGTCATTTATGAAATTTTAAATTTTTTTGAGAAAAACACTCACGTTGCGTCAGTGTAAATGCTGCGCTAAGATATTTGAAATTTCAGTTGGGTATTTCAGAATTGCATTGACTCAACTGAATTAGCATTATATTTTGTCAGCCACAGTTGATTTCCCTGCGGTTAAGCATGTCTTCTTGCATTAGCTACTCCTTGAACACACACGAACGACTTGTTTACCACATCAAATCTAATAAAACTCATTTATAGCTATCAATTCATGACTGACAGAGGGGCGACAGGCAGAAAGTGACACCCAACCGGGGACTCGGGCAGATAGAGAGCTCGAAGCTTGAAACACTCAATTGCGAGTCGAAAGAACATATCGTAATGTTATAGACGCAAAAACGTAGCTCTGTAATGACAGCAGATATTATTTATCGCCACGATTTTAACTGACATTCATCTGCCCCATTCCACTCAACCTGATGTTCATATCGTCTTTAAATTTCGTCTGTTTCTCTTCTAGCTGAGATGCAAAAAATCGTATCTGAATGAGCTAGAGCCGCGTGCTGGCCAGAGATGGAGATGTGCTGCACACACACAGAGACAGAATCRCTTGTTGTTGTTGATGTTTGATGGCGGTGCTGGAGCTGCTGTTCGGTGGTGCTGCTCTATAGCAAGTGCAAGTGTCAATTACAAACCATGTCAAAAATGTCATTCCTGCGAGTGACGGACTCTGGTAGGAGGGAGCAATAAAGTTTGTATGCAAAGATGTTTACTGAGCTGGAATACCCTGTAAAACTGAAACGAATATGTGGAATTCATATCTATTTCTTTTTTCTTCTTCCAGCTTCCACAAATTTCTGATATTCAAGTAACTCTGCATTCTCCACCTTTTTTATTTATTTTGTGTTTCGCTATTATCTCCTAATTATCCCTATTTTTTTTTAGTGCAGGGTATCTACTCTCTTTATATGCCCTCTCCGTCCAGTCTAGTCACACATTGGCTGTGGATTTGCACCCCCACATGGCTGTATGTGCTGGGCTGCCAGCAGCAGAGTCTCGCTTCTCACTCCTCTGATGCCCAATCTCCTGATGCTCATTCACATTCTCATCGACACCGACAAGTTTGTCCCTGTCAGCGCGTAGAGTTTATTACATCAATTTCTGTCTCTGTGTGAGTGTGTGTGTGTGTGTGTGTGGGAGAGTGTGCTGTGCCGCTGTGCTGTGTCTATGAGAAATTTGATACAAATGAGTTTTCACACTTTGCGTACGCACACTCACACTCAAACACACACACAGCTGTCGGATTTGTATCTGTGTTCCTGCATCTGCATAGCAAATGGATATCTGCAGAGCGTATCTGGCGCGCATTCCCCGTATCCTTTTCTATCAACGTGTAAATTGCTGGCTGTCAAACTTATGACACTCTGCGTTGATATAACCGCGTCCCATTTGCTTACTAGCCACAGTGGCTAAGGCCACAAAAATCCATACGATATGCCATTTTTAAATACATATACTTACGCAATGTACGCACAATTACTTATGGGAGCCCAATTGAGCGTGGCTAGAAATAATATCTCGTTAAAAGAGAGAGAGAGAGAGAGAGTGAAAAATGTACAATCGAGGGACAGAGAGGAGAAGAAGCATACACATAGAAAGAAAGAGATGGAAGAGAGGGTGAGAAAGAGAGATAAGGTGAGAGAGCGAGAGAAGGAGAGAGAGACGCTTATACACCAAGACTGAGAAAGAGAGAGAGGGGGAGAAAGCATTGCACAGAGACTGACAGAGGCAAAGGGATACACCCAGAGTGAGAGAGAGAGACCTACATGGAGAGACAGCAAGAGAAGTTGATGTACACGTAGAAAAACTGTAATAGAAAGAGGGATAGAGAGCGAAACACAGCGATGTAAAGAACGAGATGGAACGAGTCCCACACAGAGACAGGAAAAGAATAAAGAATAAGATAAGAGATACCCACCCGTAGAGAGACAAAAAGAGATAGAGAAAGATAGTTAACCAAAACAGCCACAACTACAGTGAGAGAGAGAGAGAGAGAGAGAGAGAGAGAGAGAGAGAGAGAGATAGAGAGAGGTTAGAGTCACTCATAAAGACAGCCAGAAAGAGAAGAAATTACGTGGTGAGCTACTTTGAGACAGATAGAGAGACAGGGGATGCAATACACGCGCACCCATACACACACACACATAGAGAAAGAGACAGTGTGAGCACTTCTCATAAATATTTCTCATTTTCATGACTGTGGCGCCCTCAAATGCAATTAATATTTGTCGCCTTCATTCGTCGTAGAGTATGTTCCATTTTTAATTGCTTCTCACAAGGAATTGCATCAGC